CTCCTTACATAACATACCTACAAAAATTTAAACTTATCATTTACCACATACAATTGCAGGTAAAACAGAAGCATCTTCAAGCTCCGCTACTCAAATTCATATTGACCTCGATATACCACAGGTGGAACAATTTCGCTCCAGGTAATTTCAATTTAATCCCTTAAAACTACTTAAAGTTCAAGTTTCATGTTCAATAGTTTTCTTTTTCGTATCAATTATGATGCCAACCTATATTGTTGCAATTTTAAGCTATAAACTGGGATCTCCAAGCCTTCAACAACAACTCCCTAAGATTGTACGTTTATCCCCAGTTCAAGCAGCAGGAAAAATTTACAACTTAGAAGAAATATCTGCTATGCCTGTTTCAGCTTTTCAGGTAAAACTGAACACATAAACAACCATCTATATTCTTATTGGAATTCCATATTTTTCTTCAGACAACATATAACTCTTATAATTTTCTTCACTTAAGGGAGGAGTTACTTATAGTGCAGTTGCAAAAGTGTCTTCAATAATGTCATCAATTAAGTGGTACTACATAGGATGTCATCGTTGTGACAAAGGGTACAACAATAGTTCTGACTCCCCAAGATGTGATTGTGCGGTTTCATTCCCCAAACCAATGTCAGTTTCTCACCTTACATTCCAACAATTAAAAATAATATGATATAAATAACATATATGCCAGTGCCTATTTTACAATGCTTTAGGTATAAACTCCCCGTGACAATCACAGATAAATCAGGGAGTTTAGATGCAGTGGCATTTTCTTTTGTTGCTGAAGATTTAGTTGAGCTTGATGCAGCCCAAGCTTCTCAGAACATGAAGATAGACTCAGTTGAACATCCAGTAACTCTTAATAAAGCCATTGGAAAAACAAGACTTTTTACTATAGGAATGAATACTGATTCATCTTCTAAGTTCCCTATCAGCTATGTGCTCAAAATGAGTTTCTCAATTGATGATACTATGCCAAATCCTCTGCTGACATCTGAAAAGGTTAGTAAATATCATCTGAAGATGCTATTTATCATTGGTTCAATATTTCAACTGAATTAGCTTTAACTATCTAACTAATTCAGCTCTCCAAGAACAAAGATCAACTCCAATTCCCACCACCTATGACATATACAAGTAGCCCAAGGTTTACTGTTCTCTCAATTTTTTCTATTCATCATATCCATATAAAACTATACTTACTAACTGCTAATGGCAAATTCATTTCAGCACAACTATTGATAATACAGGATTATCCAAAGATAGTACACCTCCAGAATCATCTGCAGCTGTCAACATATCCACAGAAAAGAACATGTCAGAATTACATATTCTAACTACTTAATTAAATACATGCATTTTCATTAAATCTATTATATATTTCAGCAGCACATCTACAAAACGAAGCATTGATTTCAGTGAGGACTCCACTGACAAAACTAAAAGGTATACCTCTACTGCACAAAGCTCATTTAGTTATTTAAATTTCTCAGTTACAGTTTATCCCTTGCAATAATTTTCTTCTTCATGGCAGTATCAAACAACTTGATATACCTGCTGTCAAACGTCAGAAGGAAGAGTACGTACTTCTAACCCACCTTCCAAATTGCAAAGTTAAACTATAATGCTAATTCCAATTTCTTATGAACCATTTCAAACAGCAAAAAGCTCCAACCAGCAAAGAAGGATAAGCTCACACAGAAATCTACATGATATGCATGGTACTTGCTCTTCACAGTACTTCAGATACAATACATCATCATACAAGCATTCTAATACATTGTCCAACAAAATTTGCAGGTCAATACATCGTATACAACTTAAAGCCTGCAGATGCTTCCGAATAATCATCTTTGTTGGTTACTATTTCCACAATCATCATCTATTGTAATTTGTTTTCGTTGTCAGACTATGTCCAAACTAAATACTCTAAGTGCTTCCAAATAATCATATACATTGATTACTGCTTTCTTATTATTGATCCATCCCAGTTTCCTTTCATTCTAACAAAACTTTCGTGTACCCTATCATATAATCAAAGTAATATTCACATATTGTCTTACTTTACCGTCCTTTTGCTTTCACTACAAACTATTCTTCTAAATTTTTTCTACAAGGTTCCGCAGCAACGCGCGGGGTACCTTCTAGTTCATTTTATTTCAAACCCACAACGACGGCGAGCACAGCTTGACGCTGGTGGCTGCGTCCAAAACACCCTTGGCCTTCAGCGATGACGGCAGCTCCTGGTGACCTTCAGCGACGATGACGATGACGCATAGTGCCGCCTGTTGACGGTCCTTAAATCATAATATTTGACCATCAATGCTTGCATATAATGAAGTAAAAAATATGGTATCCAACTTAGTGGTAGGGATTATTACTAATCATTTCTACTAGTGTTGATGAAATATGTATATGTAGGTATTTTATGGATGAAAACCACTCGTCATGTGAAGAAATACACCTCCGAAAAATCAGGATGCGTTTTACATGGATTGGAGGGCCCATATGTCAATCAAAATCACTTAGAATTAAGCCAAATCATAGCACAGGATGTTAGGGCCCCATTAAGCAACCTTTCGGCCGAAGAAGAGGCCGGGAGGTGGGTTTTTGGGTTTAGCCAAACCACCAGTTTGGCCGAACCCATCCTGAGGCCGCTAATCGCCATCTTTCAGTGTACGCTCCTGATTACTTCCCGATGATGATTGTAGAGTAGTTTGGACATTTCTTATGGCTGTAACCGTCATATGGATGCTATAAAAGGAGGACTCCATCACACTTCACAACACACAACTTTGAGCTAAATTTACAAGATGCTCTATTGTATCTTTTGTACATTAGAAAATAGGGTTAATTTGATCCATGCCATTACAAATGTAGCATATTAAAAAAATACCATTACAATTCGCGTTATCGGTTAGATGCCACTGAAAATTTCTAATATTGGAACCATGCCACTCCCGTCACTATTTCCATCCTTCTCCCTCATGCCGCCAATCTCACCGTCACAGCCGCCCCCAACGCCACTTCTGCTGGCCACGGATTGGGAACCATAGGAAGAAGCGCCTGTGCTGCTGCTGCCGACTGTCGCCGCCGGGAGACCGTGCTGCTGCTGTCGGCTATCACTGCTGCCGCCGCCGCCGCCGGAAGAGCGTTCTGCTGTGGTTGCCGGTTGCTGCTGCCGCTCGTGTGGGGACGGCGTGTTGCTGCTGCTGCCGATGCTGCTGCCGGCTGCTGCTGCCGCCGCCGGCGGGAGAGGAGAATGAGGACACTTCACCTGCAGATACATATACCCACAGTTTCTGACTTTCTTCTCACTTCAGTTGGCCATGCTGCCTTGATGATCGATCGATGCAAACGCAGGCAGGAGGATTCATTTTCATGGCGTGGTCAGTGTCGCGGCTGGATTTGTTCGCCGCCGTGCTGGCGCTGGAGCAAGCTGTCGCCGGCGCCGCGACCGGAGACTGCCCGACCACCTGCGGCGACGTGGCCGTGCCGTTCCCGTTCGGCATCGGCGCCGACTGCTACCACTCGGCCGGGTTCAACCTCACTTGCGACTGGAGCAACGACCCGCCGCGACTGCTCCTCGGCGACGCCGCCGCGTTCCAGGTGCTCAACGTCCGCCGAGGATGGGACTCCACGCGGGCGGGCACAGCGCCGCCGCCGTGGTCCACGCTGACGCGTGAAGCTGTGCGGACGCCGTGCTCGCCGCCGCAGCTGTCGCAGACGTGCTCGTCTTCGCTGCCGGATTAAGAAGAAGACGGGAGAAGGAAGGATGAAGACGGAAAATGAAAGAATGGATGGAAAACGTGACAGCAGTGGCACGGTTTTAATTTTATAAAATTTCAATGGCACAGTTACGAATAGATAAATTGTAATAGCATTTTTTTGAATAGGCAAATTTGTAATGGCATGGATCCAATTAACCCTAGAAAATAGGTAGAGAGTGAGGGGAAGCTCTGTAGGAGTGCCTAGAAGTTTGGCGCACTCTTCGACTTCTACCTCGACGAGTATAGCTTTCTATGAGGAATTATAGAGGAGTACCGGAGCTGTTAGTACACTCTACTCTGGATTCGGAGAAACTTCTTCTATTAAGTAAGCATTCTGCATCTTTTCTTATGTCATTTAATTACTTAGTATAAGTAAGATAGATGTCAATCTTTGCGGCTTCATTGTTTAGTCTTCGTACTAAGTGCTATAGTACTAGGACTCTGGATAAAGAAGGAAGTACATGCGCAAGTATTAGAGTAGTAATTAATACCTTAGACGTGGTGCCTAGGTTAGAGATTACATATGTTTGCTGTGCATCCCACGGATTTGTCAAAGGTAGACGACAGGTGGTGACAGCCCTGAATTCCCATATTCGATGATTCAGGATACCGTATGTCGTATGATGTGAACTAGAAAGAGCCACGCGCTACGCTGCGTGTGTTGGTGCTGACATTAGAAGGTTTGTCATAATAAAAGCAACAGAAGGTAGATATAGCCAACATTACATTCGAACCATGCCACCAAAGTTCAAATATGAGTTGTTTTGATCAATTTGTTTGGAGTGCTATCTGTATGATCATGTACACTTGAGCAAAAATAGCAACCACAGAAAAGTGGCGCATACGTACAGTGGATTATATTAGGGAAACTAAGTGGTTACAAACCGTAATTAGAAGATGGTCTGACATATGTACAAACGGATCTCTTCAATAGAACTTGCATTGCAAAGAAATGTAGTGCTTTAGCTCGATAAAAACATCACATCATAACGTTTATCCATAGCAATTTTGCACATGAGCTGGTACTGGATGCTGCTAAAGCTATCCCCTACATTATGTCCAAAAATTTCATATTAGATGGGCATTCATAAGTATTCTCAAGAAATATTTTCAGCTCACGAAAAGGGGAACAAAACATTGAATCTATAAAACAAAAAAATGATTAATGAAATCATTGCATGAAGTCAACTTATAATGAAGGCCTCATAATCATATTTGTGAAAACAAAAAAAATTCAATCCAAAAGGATCGATCTTCTAAAATTCCAATAACATGCAGTGCAAGGCCAAAAAAAAAAATCAAAGCAGGAATATTACTTTAGAGGGAAAGAAATATTAACTGTCCCAACTACACCCATTGGAGCATATGGCAGGACCTATCTAGAATGGTTTGAACTAAGAAGGGATTTCAACGAATTGAATGTCACATGCCATAATATACTGAAGTAGAACTTCATTTGCAAAGCACAAGAGATCCACGCAGTATAGCTAGAGATATGGAGGCATGATCAATTCAGGTATAACATATACTCTTGATGTGAACGCTGATAAGAAGTTCAATAAATCATGGTCATTAATACAAATCAACTGAGGTTGATACTTTTCTAGCATAAAAGTACCTATGGGAAATGCAAGCATTGATCCTTTGGGGTGACCACTTGATGTAATAACTTATTGAAACACCATGGAAAGAACCTCTGGACTGAGCACTGGATGTAATGTGTTATTGAAACACCATATTGAAAGAAAACTAAGGTATGAGTAAACTATGCCATGAAATGAAAACATGGTTATTTTGGTCTATTAAAGTTCTGACAGATATCAGATATCAGATATATCCTTTTTTGGGTTTGGGATTGTTGTGACCTACAAAAACCCAGTTTTAAACTACTGCAGCTGTTACAATATGCATGATTCACACATAATTATACAGCTTGATCTAGAAACGATTGCCGACAGGTTTGCACCAAAACAATAAAAGCCATCTAGTTTATTTTTACACAAACGATCTATCTGAATATCCTTCATTCCAGAATTTTGAGGCTGGAAAAGAAAAGCACAAACCTCCCCTGTTTTGCTGAAAGAAGAACATAAGCAGGGCATGGATAGAACATAAGCAATTGTCTCATGCATCAAAATATAGTATGAAGTCTAGATCCATCTATTGCACCTGCAAATAAAAACTGGGAAAGTGTACTATTCCATACAGTGGAATGCAGATAATTACCTTGTTGTGCAGATCTGTATAAAGGTACCACAACACATTTTCATCCGAAAGAAACAATTGCTCATGTTTGCCACAATGCATCGAGTTGTTGATGTCAACTACTATTATAAATGGCAAACCTGAAATTAGGAACATATGTTTTAATGTGAGGATGGGCACCATCACTATCAATAAGTTCCAAAATGCTTGTGTGAATCACATATAATAGTAATTGCGTAAGAAAGACCACATAAATATTGTAGATTCTATCATAAAGAAATAGCCAAAGATAACAGGTTACATATTTAGGAACCGGAGGTAACATTTTGCAAAAATCAGTAGAAAAACAAACAGAGAACTATAAATCTATGGACCTAGAGTAACCTCTATTCAAAATGCATATGGAGTTAAATAGATTAAGTCAACTAAGATTTGGATGTATAAGAACGGTACCTATCCAAATTCAATGGTTGGATTTGGTTAACTGGTAATATGCCAGGATTGTAACTTGTCAGGTTTACAAATAATGCTTGATGGTGTATGCATAAAAATTGCTAAAGATTGTCCAAATGAACACCATTAATGCACTGGTACTCTGTCAATTCTACCAAAAAAAATGATGGGCAATAAATTCACAAATTTTAAATATAATTTGTTGGAAATGGAAGGAAGCTGAGGAAACTGAAGAGACGCATCATCTGCTCATAGCATAAACATAGTACATTGCCATTAAGCTAAACCTAAGTAATCTGATGAGAAATCTAATGACCACATATAACACCACCCTAGTGAAGACAGGAAAAGAGCATCTATGTCTCAAAATAGAAACACAGCTGTAAGCACAACAATTAGCAAGTGAAAACTGCAAGAAGATGGGGTTGTCTTTCCACATCATCCATGTGAAACTGAATGGACAGGAAGGTATGAACAGGGGGATAGCAGCGTTGTGCATACCGATATGGGATCAGTCCAAGAGTTGATGGGTCATGGTCTGCTAGATGTGGAGGAAGCACCGGTGGCCAGCGGAATCGATCAGAACCTGCGTCAGCATGAACATATGGAGCGAAAAATTAGGACTCCGGAAAGGGAGGGAAGGGGAAGGGAGTGTAGACCTCACCTCACCATAGACGACTAGAAGGTCGAGATCGTCAGGCGGAGATGAACTAGCGTCGGCAGCTTGCGATGACACCTAGCCCACGGTCGAGGCGGAGATGCTGAAGAGGTCGGAGTGCTGGCAAGGCCCAAATCCATGCCAGCGCAAGGACATGACTACAGGGGAGGGGAAGGGAAAAAGGGCGGCGGATGGTCCAAACCAGGAGGGAGAGCACGCGTACCTCCTCAGCTGTGAGGCGCTGGATCCAACAGCCGGTGAAACTTGGACGACGAACGGTGGTTGCGGTGAAGAAGCTCGGCAGAATTAGGGAGTTAGAGGGAGGAAAAAGGATGGCGGCGGAGGAGGCGACGCGGGTGAAGCGGCGGCGCTTTCTTCGCTGATTCCTCCTCTCGTGAGAGAAAACGCGAGGAGACGGTGTGGTCGGCTGGGTCGGGAGTGCGGCTAGGGTTTTTGTGTGCTGACGTACTTCAGAGATCTGGACCATCCAATCTCGCTTTGCCGATCCTACGGCTCCGAAAGAGCAACCAAGCTGGCCACGTGGATAACTGGATCGCTCCTAGCCCGAGATCGAACGGGTCACGATAGCTGGAATCAAAATGCAATTAACCAGAGCTCAAGGTGTTTTCTATAAAAATCGATGACGTGGCAAGCTAATTTTTCACCTATCCTATGGCGTTTAGGTAAACAAATAATCTCGCTTTGCCGATCCTACGGCTCCGAAAGAGCAGCCAAGCTGGCCACGTGGATAGCTGGATCGCTCCTAGCCCGAGATCGAACGGGTCACGATAGCTGGAATCAAAATGCAATTAACCAGAGCTCAGGGTGTTTTCTATAAAAATCGATGATGTGGCAAGCTAACTTTTCACCGATCCTATGGCGTTTAGGTAAACAAATATACAGGATGTGTTTTAATCCCCATTATGTACGCCCGTACGAGTATATGACGTCTGACTCTTGCCTGAAATCTTCACTGCAGGATGTGTTTTAATCCCCATTATTATATTTTTTAGATAATTTTAATCCCCATTATTATGTTTTTTATGTATGTTCTGCATCCGGCCGCCGGTGCAAGCGACGAGCCGATGGCAAATCATCGTTTGGCCTGTCTATCTATCACTGTTTACTAAATATCCATAAAAGTTCTTAAGCTACCACTTGACATCCTACAAAACGCTTTTAAGTCATCCTACGATACTCTAATAAATTAAAAAAATTCCTAAAAATTATAAAAAAAAACAAAACATGTAACCGTTGATTTTTATTAAATTGGTGAACTTTATCTATAACCATTAGATTTATCTTAAACAAAATAATCCACCACCCAAACCGGGGTCCACCTGGGCCACTAGGAACGTACGTGCGTACGTTATTGGTAACGTGGTCCTCGTCTCAATTCCTTCCTCTTTTTCCACGTGTTCCTTCTTCTATTTTTATGTTCTATTAGTTAGAAAAGAAAAAAAATTGTGTTAAACCTATAACATTTAAATCATACATCTAATTTCTGATGCTCTTATATCTTTCAATTATTTATAACTAAATTTAAAGTTAAAGCCTAAATTTCACTGTAATTCCACTTTGATAAGAAATGTTATTTTGGGTTATATTTTCTGACTTTTGTGTGCCCCTAAAGAAATTATAAAAAAATATGAAACAATAATATTATTATAGATTTTTTATCATCGTACATAACTTCAAAATAATTAAATTAGATCTACAATCATAAAAAGTAAAATGAACATAACTGTAAGTAATGCTCCCAAAATATATTAAAAAGCAATAGTTTTGCTAAAAAATAAGCAATAACATCTAAATCAAACAACCAATATTGATCCGCTTATTTCTTTAGATTATTTCAAATCTAAAGACATATATTCACTCTAATTCAACTTTGAAAAGAAATACGTCACTTTAGGGTTATATTTTCTGATTTTTGTGTGCCATTCAAACAATTATAAGATTATTAGAATTAATAATGCTATATATTTTATTATCGTGTATAACTTCACAATAATTAAATTAAATCTATAATGATAAAAGTACAATGAACCTAACTCTGAGTAATGTTCCAAAAAATTACTCCCCCGTTCTACAATGAATATATTGAAGAAAAGACGAGTAAAAAGATGTATCTTAATCAATCTTTTCTTATATTTAGTTAATAAAGTAATAGTAACTAAGACACTATAATATATAAAAAAATATATATTATAATCATTTGCAGTCATACTGTCTTGTCACGCCCAGAAATTCACGAACCAGAAATTCTAAGCTGAATGTGCATTAAACCCCTGTCCAGGACCAGCCAGGGTACACAAACGACAATTGTTGACATAGAGATCCACGTCTTACAAAAATATAAAAGATTACAAATGCAGCGGAAAAGATAAAAGCGAGCTAAGCCTGAAGACTTGACTCCTGCAGCGGGCGACTCCATTCCACAGGCATCCTTGACGGCAGTGACGAAACCAACTTCTTCGAGACATCTCCAACTGAGAAGCACTTCAACTCTGGTGTGGGGGAAAAGAGAGCAAGACTGAGTACTACCCACTGTACTCAGCAAGTCATACCGGAAGAAGAGGTATGATGCAGGATATATCCAAAGAAGGCTAACGATTCTTTTGCATAGAGCAAGCATTTAAAAGCAGTAGTTGAAAGCAGTAAAACAACTGTATTAATTAATCAATATTAACCAATCACTACTCAACGCTACACCATATTGAGTCAGACCCAAACCACTACCTGAACTAACTAGTTCATTAGCTAACTAGGGGTGAGACTAATCACGGTGAATCTGGTCGACCGCCCATAACCGCGGGCACGGCTATTCGAATAGTTTTACTCTGATTAGAGGTGTACAACTATACCCACAAGACATAGCTCCACGACACGTTTCCGTGCGCCGACATGCCACCACGGCATACCGGAAAGAGGCCGTGATAGGACCCTTCGCATAACCCCCTCTAACCGATCGCACCACACCTCAGGGTTCGCCCCAGTCCCCAGCAGGCAACGGGCAGCCCCCCTCTCGTGCCGCGGTGAATCCGGAAGCCGATCAACCGGACACCCCGGCCGACCCAACCCCATCACGCCCACCCTTGTCTGGGTACGTCGGCTAGAGGAAAGCTACACTACAAGCCCAGCCGTTGCCCACACTGGCTTGTGGTAAGTACGATAAGTTCTTCCAGGGCATCCCGCGAACCGGTCCTTAATCGCCATGGGCACGACTAGCAAAACCATGCACCCACAGCCCACCATGTAGTGTATTTTAATTAAGGGTTTGTTGGAACCATGCCACCCTATATTTGCAAAATTTGAGATATGCCACCCGTATCTCAATGACATGTAGGACCCACATGAGTCAATGACATGTAGGTCAGGGTGGCATATCACAAATTTTGTAAAATTTGTGTGGCATGGTTCAAATTGTCCCTTTAATTAACTAACACCATTACGGTGGCACTAATCCAAAGCTATACCAATAATCAAAGTTTATGCATTAATGTGATCCCCCTTTGTGTACTAGTTGAACTAAGCATGGCTAAGCATTCCCTAAACCAACATCTAATCATTTTGATACCCAAGTTATCAATGGCATAAGGTAAACAATATATGGCTGAGTAGTAGGACCCATCCCACATGATATTATAAAACAATGCAACATTTAATAGAAATGCGGGACATTTGTAAATTGGGTACAATATGATCAATTGTAATGCATGACTTGCCTTGCTCTCGCATTGATGAGGCCACAGCAACGTCTTCGAGAAACTGTGGATCGACGAAAAGGCCAAAATCTACGCGACAAACAAAGCACACAAGCAAAACATGCTATAAGTCTACTGAAACAGGGAACAAAACCATTTTTAATGGATTCTAGGGATTTTTATGAATTTACTGAGACTTGAATGGACTTAATCGGAGCTCGGATGAATTAGTTATAAATTTTAGAAGATTCTATGTGTTTATTACTATAAAGAAAAACCCTTAATTATTTATTACGCAATAACTCATCCCAGGGCTGACGTCATCAAGGAGGGGGGCGGCGCCGGCAAGCGGGCCCCGCATGTCAGTGGCTCAAGGGGGAGGAGGTGGCACCGGCTGGTGGGTGGGCCCCACCAGGCAGTGGCTCAAGGGGAGGGGGAGACGCCCGGTCGGCTCGGCTCGGCTTCAAACCGGCCAGCCGGTTAGGCGATGCGGCGGCGGCAAGCGGCCACCGACGGCGCAGGCGGCCGGCGGCGCGGGCGGCGGTGCATCGCGGCGACGCGCATGCGGGGAGTAGCGGCGCACGCGAGAGGAAGCTAAGGGGAGAGAGTTCTCACCGAGGGGTTCGGCCAGCCGGGGGAAAGGCGACGGCGAACGGCGACGACGAGCGACTGGGAGACGGCGACGAGTGGCGAACGAACTCCGGATGGGCCTAAGGAGCATAATGAGGAGGATTAGAGAGAGAGAGAGAAGGTTTACTGTGAGCGGAAACCATGGCTGAAGGCGGCGGCAATGGTGGTGCTCACCGGCGCGAGGTGGACGGCAATCTCCGGCGACGGATTGCGACGGACGAGGAGTGGACGAGGCGGCCCTCAGGCTTGCGAACCTGATGGCGGCGGCCCTAGCGGCGGCGAGCGGCGACCGGAGGCGGTGGTTGGCGGCGGCACTAGGGGAAAACAGTGCGGCGGCGATAGAGGGCTCGGGAGAGCGCGGCAAAAAGGGGAAAATGGAGAAGGGGACATGGGGTTGCTTTTTATGGGCGAGGAAGGGGCGGACGAGGTCGGGAGGTGGCTGGATTTCTCACCGACGTGGGGGATGGAGAGAGAGAGTGGGGGGAATTCGAATTGAATCCCGCCCTTGCGAGCGCGCGCGCGTGGGCGGGAGAAGGCGGGGCGTGAGGGCGGCGACGTGGGCGCGGGCGCAGGTGCGGAGTGGGGCGCGAGAGTAGCGGCGAAAGTGGCGGCGTGGGCGCACTGATGAGATCTCAGCAACGTCTTCGAGAAACCGCGGATCGACGAAACGGCCGAAATCTATGCGACAAACAAAGCACACAAGCAAAACATGCTATAAGACTTCTGAAACAGGAAACAAAACCATTTTTAATGGATTCTAGGGAATTTTATGAATTTACTGAGACTTGAATGGACTTAAACGGAGCTCGGATGAATTATTTATGAATTTTAGAAGATAATCTATGTTTTTACTAATAAAGAAAAGTCCTTAAACAATTTATTGCGCAATATTACCCAGGGCTGACGTCATCAAGCGGGGGGGGGGGGGGGGCGCCGACAGGTGGGCTCGCACGTCAGCGGCTTGAGGGAGAGAGGGAGGGAGCGCCGGCATGCGGGCCCCATGGACAGTGGCTCAAAGGGGAGGATGTGTGCGGCTGGTGGCTCGGCACGGCTCAAGCCGACCGGCCATGGAGCGGCGGCGGCGACGCGCAGCCACCAGCGG